GGGGTGACACCGGGCTGGGGGCCCGGGGGGAGCACACACACGCTCCGGGGGATGGGGGGACATGACCCCCCAGGACCCCCCCTCCCTTCTTAGGCACGTGGAAGCCTAGCCCCAGCACCAGGAAGACGAAGCCCAACATGGAGCCCCCCATCCCCGTCAGCATCTTGGGGGTGCTTTCAGTGGCTGCTCGTGGGCAGGATCCCAAAACGGCAGCGGCTGCCCCGAAGGGTCTGGGATGGAATGTGACAGGCTGGGATGGACTGGGACACACTGGGACAGCAGGATATACCAGCGGGACCAGATTTGGGCACCCAGGATCATACTGGGGTATACTGGGACCACATTGAGGGCTACTGGGAAATGCTGAGGGCAACTGGGTGCTTTTAGGATATACTGGGTGTGATTTGGATCGTACTGGAACTGACTGGAACCATAGCAGTGGTGAAAAAAGCACAATTGGAATAATGCAGGAGGCAGCTGGGATCCCATTGGAAGCAGCTGGCCCATGCTGGAGTCATACTGGGATCATACTGGGACTGACAGGGTCATACTTGGAGTGACTGGCATAGTACTGGGAGTGACTGGAACCATAGTAGTGGTGAAAAAGCACAATTGGAAAAATGCAGGAGGCAATTGGGATCACACTGGGAGCAACCGTCCCATGCTGGAGTAATAGCAGGATTGACAGTGTCATACTGTCAGTGACTGAAATAACACTGGGAGTATCTGGGTGTGACTGGGATCATACTGGGGTGACTGGACTCACACTGGGGTCATGCTAGGAGCAACTGGGGCCATCATGTGAGCAAATGACATTCTAGGAGCGACTGGGCTCATACTGGAAGTGACTGGGGCCATACTGGACTCCTACTGGGAGGGACTGAGATTGGAAGGAACCATACAGGGCCTGACTGGGAGAAACTGGGACCGTGTTGGGGGCAACTGGGATCTTATTGGGAGTGACTGGGAACATAAAAGCTTGAATGGAGTTTCTATCCCGTGACATTCCTGGGGAGCAGTGGCAGCTCCACGGCCCCAGCCTGGGGGTCAGAGCAGGGGGAGCCGCTGGGACAGCTGAGGGCTGGTGGCTCCTCCCCGACTTCATTTTCTCTCCCCAGTTCAAATCATCCCCTCTCATTCGCATTTTCTCCCCACACTCCTCACCCCAATTAAACTTCTCCACAATTAAGCCCTGATCTCTCTCCCCGCCCCCAGCTCCACCTGGCAGGACCCGGCCACGACCTTTTGGAAACAGAAGAAAGGGTTAAAAATTTCATCATTATTTCCATTCATTTCTTTGGTTTCTGGGGGATTTTCCTGCGGCTGCTCCGGGTGAAGGCTCAGGGATCCCCTCAGGCTCCACCCCCTTTCCAGTCCGTTTTCCAGCTCTTTTCCTCAGCTGACCCAAACCTGCAGATTTTGGGGGGTGGGAGGGGTCGCTCTGCTCGGCAGTCTCGGAGGTGCCCCCAAGGAGGCCCCGAGGCCCCAGCGCAGCTCCCTCCGGCCCCTTGGAGCATTTGGAATCTCCAGCTCTCAGCCAGCGCTCTCCGTGGGATCCAATCCCCCCTGCAGGGTTTTCCCCCAGACCGGCTTTATTTCCGGAGGGTTTTGTGGTTTCCCTTCGAGCCAGGCCCTGGTGGAGGAGGGCCACGGGTGAGGGGGTAAATAGAGAATAAACATGGGATTGTAGAAAAAGAAAAAAAAAGTTAAACATATCTGAAATAAAATAAAATAAAATAAAATAAAATAAAATAAAATAAAATAAAATAAAATAAAATAAGATAAGATAAGATAAGATAAGATAAGATAAGATAAGATAAAATAAAATAAAATAAAATAAAATAAAATAAAATAAAATAAAATAAAATAATAAAACAAAACTCTGAAAAATAAAAAGCAACGGCAGAGCTTTTTCTGCTGGGACTTTGGGTTTTTGTCCCCGTTTCAAGCTGGTTCTGAGCCAGAAACCAATGGCTGGGAGAGACTTGGCTGCTGAAAGGCCTTGTATTGCCAAAACTAAAGTGTCGAGTATCAAGTAACAGCTTGAGATTACGAAGTCTCAGCATCCACGTTGGATTCCCTCGTTTCAAGATGCCAGCTCAGGTCCGCACGGGGCCGGTCCCTGCTCGGCCCAGCGGGGTCCCCCCGACCCCTGCGGACCCTGCTGGGCTCGGCCCTGGGGTTCGTGCGGGGCAGGGACGGCTCAAGGAAGGCTCGATCCGTCCGGAGAAAGAAGAGGAAGAAGAGGAAGAAGAAGAAGAAGGGGCTGGGGCCGCCTGCGGTGTCCGATCTTCGTGGAGCAGCGGCGGGCGAGGCCCTTTGATGGCGATTTCCTCTTACAGCCCCGCTCTGAGGTGGGGGCCGGGGGTCCTGTGATTGACGCCTTGGGGCTGATTCCAGTGAAAGGACTCGGAAGGACTGGTTTGTACAAAACCAGAAATGTTTATAAAGGCACGAGCCTCGCCGAGCTTTGCAGCCCAGGAAATCCCGTTTGGGGGAGTTTTGCTCTCTGTTCATGGTTTGAGCAGAGACCAGAGCCAGGAAACGTCACCGCCCATTTGTGCAGGTGGTTGTTGTGCAGCGACAGCGGCTTCCAATCCGCCCCTGCTGGCTCCCGCATCCCCCACCTGAGCATCTCTCCCGGCCCCCAGGTCAGAGTTTGGCGGCTTCTCTCTGACAGATCCGCCGCGAAGCCGAGCGGCAGTCCTGAGGAATGGCTCTGTTGCCACCGCTGGCCCCACAATCGCCAGGTCGCTCCCTGGGATCCACCTGACACCTGGAGGTGCAGGAGGGAGCTGGGGGTCAGGGGTGCCCCCCTTGGCTCCCGGTGCCCGCCGGGGCCGGTCCGGGCGGGATCCGTTCAGCCACGGCCGCGGGCACTGAGCCCGATCCAGAGGCAGCGCAGGGTTTCTGCAGGGCTTCATTCAGGAGTTCCTGGGGGAGAGGAAGAAGTGGTGACACTGATGGGCCATGGATGGTCCCCCCCAAACGGGCTCTGTCATCCATGGCCGACAAGGTCACCACTTCTCCATTGCCTGTCCCAGGAGCTCCCAAATGTAGCCCTGGAGAAATCCGGGCCCTGCCTCTGGATCAGACTCTGGGAACCCCCTGGCCCGGA